GGTAATACTACTAACTGAAAGAAGGTTAGTATCAAGCTTAGGAACATGCAAGACAGAAGACAAGGAGATAGTATCTGATAGYTTGATGTCACCCTTGCCAGAAATGGGGACAAGAGAACCATCAGCAATAGATACTTTATCCCTACTAGAAGACAAATGATAAGTGATAAACAATGAAGGCAAGCTAGTCATATGGTCGGATGCACCTGAATCTATTATCCAACAGGGTTCAGTAGTACCTGGAGCTGTGGCATGGTAGGCTGAGGCTCGAGTACTTGAATGTGCGAAAGCAGATGTGGCAGGGGCTGATGGTGACTGCAGTGACTGAGCTGAGTTGCCAACTTCCTTTTCCAACTGTATTAAAGCAGCTCGAACTGCAACTAAGGTCTCTAAAGGTGTGCCTCTTGTGCCAGACGAGGATGCTGAATCAGTGTTCACGGMCACATGAGCATTACCCTTCTTGCTTCTCAACTTTGTCGGGACCAAATGAGGATGCTGTTTCCAACATGTTTCTTTTGTGAGTTTAATTTTCTTACAATGCTCACATACCACTTCTCTTTTATCTTCCTTCATGTCCCTTTCTGAATCACATTCTGATTTGGGTTTAACAGCTACAAGGGCTGGTGTAAGAGGCTGAGGTTGCATCATGACTTTCCTCCTAGTCTCTTCACTATGCACTAAGGAGTTTGCCTAGGAGAGAGTCACACTATCTCTGGTCAATATCTGTTGCCGCACAATATCATACTCTGAATTCAGACCTACCAGAAACTCAAACACCCTGTTTGTCTCGACTTGCTTTCTTTGGGTCTGTGCATCTTTGGAACTCTCCCACTCAAGAGTCTCTAAGTGATCAATCTCATGCCACAGGGATTTCAAGGTAGAGAAGTAGACCGAAACCGGTTTCTCTCTTTGTTTAAGAGTGTTCACTTCACATTTCAATTCATAAGCTCTGGCAACATTAAGGGGTTGGGAATAAGTTTCTTTCATAACATCCCATATATCCTTGGCTCTCTTTGCCCACAAGTAATTTCGGTTGAGATGAGGCTACATAGAATTACACAGCCATGTCATAACCAAGTAGTTTTCTTAGACCCACTTGGTATACATGGGGTCTCCCTTGGAAGGTTCTTTCACATCTCCCAAGAGATACCCTAMTTTACCCCTTCCCCCAATAGCCATCATGGCTGATTGGGCCCATTCCAAATAGTTTGATCCATCAAATYTTAYGRTTGTAATCTGAAAACCTGTCTCAGAAACACTACCATAACTGCTGTTCCCAGAACTGCCTTCTGCCTGATTTTTAAACTCCATTTCATTCAAGAACCAATAGTCTCAAAATTAGGGTTACTACAGTCGAAGAACAACACTTGGACTATTAATCACAATAAAAAATCACTATAGAACTAATCTGTATTCACGTATATGTGCATGAAACCAGTATAAGTCTGATCTGAAACCAATTAGCAAACACAACAGCAACAGTCCGTACAGTTTTCACTCCTTAAAAGAGTTTGAAACCCCAAAAAAGATCTGAATACAGTTTGGAGAATGACTTGATTTGTTGGAGCAGAATTAGGTTTTAATCAGTTCTTAAAAAAATTTCAGCCGCACATTCCAAGCAGTACCATACAAATAAGACTTGTAGTAGGGTTAATATGAAACCCTAAAACTGACCAATGCTAAAAAAAACTTAAGAAGAGCTTCACAGGTAGATCACAAGGCTCGGCCCAACATCAGGGTTTGCAGCAAGATTAATAGGGTTTGCCGCAGGGTTAAGACCAAACCTTAGAGAATAGAAAGAAGAAAACCCTAGAATGGTTCGGCCGCCCTTTCTAGATAGGTCCAACCTATCTTCTCTGATTGTACTTCTCTTAGAAAATAATATAACTTATAAGAGAATGTTGTTCGCTGCCTTCCAAGGTTACCCGAACCCTAGTCTTCTTTGATTCTTCCTGATCGCCAACAATTTGCAACCGTGGCAAGTCTTCAACAGCTGCTAAACCCTCTAGCGATCTCCAAGAATCAGTCAACGAACTCTACTTTCTCAGCTTCCAGCCCTAGATGGTTCTCATGTGGTTGGTTGGACTAGACTCACATGAGAAACCCTAACCTTGCTCTGATACCATGTAGAAGTTCAAGACTGCTATCAGCCTTGAACCCTAATAGATTTCAGGTTC